AATCCCGAATGCCGATGCTGTCCATCAAACTACCTAAGGTTTCCCCGATTAGCAGCATAGCTTAATTTTTTTCCTTTCAGAAAATGATCACTAAACATCCACACCTGCTCGCCAACCTCAAGCACAACGCCAAGGGTTCACCCACCCATTTCGATACGCACGAGCTTTTCAACGACGTGTTGCTGGTATTTTCGTGCCACCCGATTTTGACCAAGTCGTTGCAGAACAATTACGCCTACGCGTCCAACAGCTCGAGGAGCTTTTCGTTGCTCGGGAAGGTTGGCGAATCGCACGTGCAAGCAGCTGAACGTGCCGGATCGTGTGTTTTTGTCGTTTTTCTGAGGGTGTCCCAACCTGCCTCGCAGCCTAGCTTCTGCCCGTAGCACGTCCGATTTTACGATTTAGGCATCTATCGAGTCGTCGGAAAGGCAATTCCAGCACGGTTTTTAATTTACGAAATTCCGGAATTTTTATTTGCTCGATTATTGCCATTTTTCATGCAAGAAGGACAAGCTTTTTGTCGAAAGCTCAATTTAGCCGGTTTAAGCGCGATCTAGGCTGTGTCTCTTACATAGCTTTCAAATGCTCGGGTGCGTCAAACTTCTTTTTTTTTTTAAAAAGCATTGTTCGGAAAGCACCAGAAAACCGTTAGTAAGTACGACAAAGATTCCGGAATGTCATAAATCGGGATTACCGCTGGACTCGTCATTTCCAGAGCTTTTGATTGATGCCTAGATCCTAGAAATCGGACACACCTCCGGACCGCTAGGGGGGTACCTTTACGTACTCTGTACGTTTTTATATTGTTGTTCAGCTTCTGCCCATGCTACGAGGGAGCTCGAGCTCGAGCCAGCGAGGGGCAAAGGATGTAGTCGTGATTATCTACTCTTAGAAGTGAATCGGCTTCTCGTCGATGGTCCCGATAAAGTATGCCTTTTTGGTAGCCCTCAAATCCTCCTGTTTTAGGGCAAATGCGTGGTGATGAAACTGGCCGAGATCCAGTCTGTGTCGGTGAGACTTCCGCCTAAGGCTGTCATGGAAGAAAAGTATGGTTTTTTGTGTTTAGAAATACTTTTTCTAGTTCGATGGGAAAGCAGCCGCCGTCGGGCGCGATAACGATTATCTACAGGTGGTACTTGACTGTTAGCGGGGAAGGAATTTTTGTTTTCCGCACGTCTTGAGGATATAGAAGGTATTTTGAGAGCGTTTAGCGTTTTGAGAGTGTTTTTATTGGTTTTTCATTGCTAGAAAGTTATACGAAAATTTCAACTTCGAAAACTTTGGCCTTTTACCCGGTTTTATGATTTTGATGAACTTTTTATATCTGAGCTATGTAAAATGTTATAAAAATTGGTTAGAAATTTGAAATTTGTATGTAGGGCCGTACAGAAATAAGACCGAGAATTTGCTTTCCGTCTTCTAAGAATCCCCCCTGCTAACCGTCCAATACGTGAGCTTATTAGGATCGCGTTGCGTGTAGCGCAACCATCAAACGCCATGCTCGAGGCCGTCGTCTTCCGCGATTTGACGAAAAAGACCTGGAAAATCGATGGAGACATTGAGCGGAACAACAAGTACTGATCACTATTGATTATCGCATTTTTTTCTCGCAATTCCAGATATGGCAACACTTCGGCGTGCGTCGTCGAGAAGCAGCTGCTCAAACTGTGCCACTGCATTAACTGACCCTTCTAGATGTAGATATCTATTTTTTTGGGTGCTGGATCGTTATCGGGGGGACCAAGGGCAAAAATCAGTGCGGAATTCATGTAATCGCCTAGTATAATAAAATATAACGTATTTTTGTTGTTTTTGCTGTTTTGACATCTATACAAACAAAGGCCTTTTTAAAAATTTAATCTTAGAAATTTTTCACGAATTTTCACCTTTTTCTAATGCGTGTTATTTCACTATAATAATTAGCATCATTTAGATACTACGGGGCTGTCGAATAAAACACCCCCCGATAACGATCTAGATCCCTCATTGATAGACTAACTTTTTTGTAGTTGTGATTGTGTGCTTTCAAGAAATCGCGTGGTGCTCGTGCTGCAGGGTAAATTGATTTCCCCTCTTTTTTCGATTTGCATACCCGCTGCAATGCATTCCGGAACTGGCGCTAATTTGCCTGGAAAAGCTACTATAAAATAAAGTCGATCCGAGGGCCGAAGTATTTCTCAACGCCTCGCAGACGTTCAGTCACACGAGCTCTTCCGCTCCACAGCTTTCTTCCGACGACTTTCTGATCGGTGAGCTTTTTTCGGATTTAAATACGTTTCGCCGAATTTTTATTTTGCATGCTAATTTCGTTTCTGTGGGATTTGGACTTTGGCAATTTACGAAAATTTTTGCAAGGCTATCGTTACCTTGCCAATTCATTTTTAGTATCATTTTTCAGCAAGTCGTGACAATGACTTCTCGCCTGAGCATCATCCTGCTCGTCGGCCTGCTCGCCATGGCCACCGCCAGGCTGCACCCCGACCACGTGGTATTCCCCTATCCGCTTTTGTTAGGCTTGTCATTTCCAGGACGACAAGACTGTCGCGGAGCGGCTGGCGGCTGGGGTCGACAAGGTCATGGAGCGTATCCGGCGTCAGGAGCCCTCGAATGATGCCCCCAAGACCGATGCTCCGCCGAACGACGCCCCCAAGCCTGACGCCCCCAAGCCTGACGCCCCCAAGCCGGACGCCCCCAAGCCGGACGCCCCCAAGCCGAACGATCCCCCCAAGCCCGATGCCCCCGAACGATCCCCCCAGGCCGGACGCCCCTAAGCCGAACGATCCCCAAGCCTGATGCCCCCGAACGATCCCCCCAAGCCTGATGCCCCCCCGAAGGATGGCGCCCCCGAGGGTGATCCAGTCGTCGCCGCCTGGAAGAAGGTATCCTTTTACGTAATGAAAACCAAATAAACCCTGGCCACTTCTAACCGTTTTTAACAAATTTCTGCAAAAA